ATCGGCAATTTTGGGGCCGATTGCCGGAATCAGTATCAGCCGATACCGATCGAGTGGGTGGGGCCTATGGGGATCTTCCATTTAAAGTGATGTTTAAAACTCAGTTAATGGGGCTCATTTTATATTGCTTCAGTTTATAATCGTAACGGATTAAAAAGTTCAGATTCATTTTTCAATACATGATGCGCTTCCACAAACAACATCATTGTTAAATTCAAATGATGTACATTATTCAAGTTTACATTAACTTTGGATAATAACACGTGAGAAATGAGCGGAAGCGCTCTCTTTTCCTCTCTCCCTCTCTTTCTCCCCTGACAGCCCGTCAGTATCTCATGCAGCTCACTCATCCAGTAACGAGTGACCCGACAGTGAAGAATAAATATATTTATAACTAGTTTAGCTAGTTCCAGAGGTAGATCAAATAGCCAAGTGTGTTAGGTCTAACTCTTGGTGTGTGTTGCTCCGCTCACCGGTCCGTCACAGCGGGCGGAGCTGCAGGATTTCTGCTTCACACACGTTGCATTCCGCTATTTTACTGTCTTTTTCGGACACCTTAAAATACTGTCAGACTGGTGAAGCCATGTTGCGAGCTTGTTTTGCCGCGCACAGAGAAAAGTGTCATGTATTTGACGTCATGTTATCGGCTCTCCTGATCGGCCTTTATAGAGAGCACCGATCGATCAGCCGAGAGTGAATATCAGCCGAGAGTGAATATCGGCCGATAACGATCGGCGGCCGGTCGATCGGAGCATCCCTATTCTGTGATACATAAGTTGTAATGATGGTAAAAGAAAGTGTGTGAATACATTTGACAAAAATTAAAGCAAATATTTCTTTCTCTTTTTAAGGACCGGATCATTGACGCTGGTCCGAAGGGAAACTACTCTCGCTTCATGAACCACAGCTGTCAGCCCAACTGTGACACGCAGAAGTGGACGGTAAACGGAGACACGAGGGTCGGCCTGTTCGCCGTCTGCGACATCCCCGAGGGTGAGACCACTGATGAAAGCCTTTATTCACTACCCTGCCATATGTGGGAAGAATAATTACATTTACAACGAAGTAACAAGACTGAGAGCAAACGTATGTTAACTTTTATTCCAGGCACTGAGCTGACCTTTAATTACAACCTGGACTGCCTCGGGAACGAGAAGACGGTCTGTCGCTGCGAGGCTCCAAACTGCAGCGGTTTCCTTGGTGATCGGCCAAAGGTGAGCTTTATAATCAGAGCAGAACTTTTTGAACTGTATTGAATTGTGCATGTGTACAGTGTAGATCAATTTGATCCCAACCTGGCGTCTCCTCTGCAGAACTCAAACGGACAGACAGCTGAGCCCAAAGGGAAGCGGTTGAAGAGAAAGTATAAGAGGAAGAAAGCGGAGGGGAAGAAGAAGTCTGATGACGACTGTTTCCGCTGTGGAGACGGAGGGCAGCTGGTGCTCTGCGGCAAGAAGATGTGCAGCAAGGCGTATCACCTGACCTGCCTGAACCTCACCAAGAGACCCTTCGGTAGGAAACGCCTGAAACTCACTGCAGCTTCTTGTAGAGAATCTGATCAAATACTTCTGTTTTAATGTCAAAACGGTTTGTGCATGTAAACAAAGTGTTTACGTATCATTTTCTCTGTGATTTAACGTTCATTACCATTCAAATACTCTTTACAGGAGTTTAATCTTTGTAGCTCTGGTTATCACAGGTTCTTTCTATCTCTCAGTGTGTGAGTTTATTTCAACACAATTATTTGTCATGTATTCTGAAAAAAGTTTCCTTTCCTCTCTCACTCCATTCAGGCCGCTGGGATTGCCCCTGGCACCACTGTGACGTCTGCGGGAAAACCTCGGAGGCTTTCTGCCAGCTCTGCCCCAACTCCTTCTGCAAAGCCCACCAGGAGGGGGCGCTGCGAACCTGGCCCCCCACGGGGCAGATGTGCTGTCAGGAGCACGAGGAGCTGGAGGGAACGATCACCCAGGAGCCGGTGGAAACCTCTGGGCCGAACGCGACAACACCGACCGTCACTACTGCTCGTCCTGCTAAAGGCTCCAGGAAGGCCAGAGGAGCCCCCGCCAAAATAAAAGGCTCCAAGAGGAAAGCAGCCTAAGAGTGACCTCTGACCCCTCAGAGAGAAACCACTCTGACACGTGCTTCCCCATTGGTGGACAAATACAAACCCTGCTTACTTAAGTCTCGCAAGATCACAAAACCAAGGCACTGTACACCTTCATCAGGGAAAGCCGCTGATTCCTCACATGCTCGGCAGCGGCCTCTAACGTTCTTCAACTTTTAAACGTGTTCAGGTCTATTTCTCTTCTCCGCACTGACGCGAACCATCTGTGGTGAAAAGCTGCAGAGCGAGCGCAGGTTAGAACACTTTGCCTATTTCTACCCTCATTCTTCATCCAACAGCCTTTTTACAGTCTTCCTTTTACTCTTTTATTTTAGAATAACAAAAGGAACCATATCACTTCACACGGATCATCAGCAGAGTTTTTATAGCTATATCTATATATGTGTTTATCAAAGACAAACATTATGAATACTGGAAAAGTGTAAAACATCAAACCGGTTGCAAAAACGTTTTACTTTTATATATAGTATATATGCCAGAGGTAAAAGCAGGACACTATGGCTTCAGATGACCGTTTTGTTAGGTTACATTTAACCGTAGACATTTGGTTGCTATTTTACAACCTGTTGTTTTTAGCTCAGATTTACCGTTTAAACTTTAGAGTCTATTGTTTTCATTTAGGGATCAGAATGCTGAACCAGAGAACCATGGGGTTTTAAAAGTATTAAACTGAGAGCGCTCTTAAACTGCCGCCTTAAATAGAAACACTACTGGGTCTTTACTGCTCGAGGCTAACCCAGAAACATGAAGGAATACGTGTGATTTTCAGGAAGAAAGTTCTAAATTGAGTTCTGAGGCTGACACTTAATATGCTGTCACTTTTCTTTAATGTAAACATACAAATCATGCTGATTTAAAATGTTGAAGACCTCCCAGTGTCACCTGGCAGAGTCTTTCATTGATTGTAAAAAACATTCATATTTCATCTGTAGAGTAGCTTTTTAAAAGACAGACGTCTATTGTTTTTATTCCCAGGAGATTTTGAGTCTCAAACGGCATCTTGCTTGTACTTCTAAACGCTGGCTAGCAACTTGTTTTTGAGGTGATGAGTCCCGTAGACTGTAGCTGGAAATCTAAAAGGCTGAAAATGTGGAGCTGAGCCCTAAAAGCTAAGATGTCCTAAAATGGCCACTATAGTCTGAGCTTTGAACTATTTCAGATGCACATTTGTTCCATTTAAAGAATATGCATGTTGGTTAAGCAAAAAGCAAAAGCAAAAGCTGGCTCTTTCTTTTTCCGTTATGAATTTGAGATGCTCATTTCATATTCAAGTCTGCATATTCGAGTGATAAGTTTCCCTTTTTTGGGGGTTGGCTCATTAGGGTTTTGTTTCCAAGACTTTTGAGGCTATCGACAATTTTTGCACCGTTTTTATTTCATATCCGACGTTTATTTATAATAAAAAAAAAAGTAGTCACCTTTTTAATATCTGGATCAACTGGACCAGTTGATCTAAAGGCCACTGTCTGGGCTTTTCAGTTTTTCCTCTAAAACCTCTCCAAAAATCCACAATTAAGTTGTACACAAGTGACAAGAGAACAGCGCATTTTTGGATATATTTTTTTATAACCGCACCTTTTTTTGTTTTATTTTAAGTGTTTTCCTTCTTCCCAGGGCGTGTGAATGCGACGCGTCCGGGGTTGCAGCGAGTGTCGTACGAGTATTTTTCCACTTTCTTTGTATCCTAACGTTGTGTTGAGTGAATGTAGTCCAGCCAGTTGTTTTCTTAGCACTGTAAACCTGTAGAGCTGTACTGTTTCCTTCTGTAACTACTGTCCTAGTGCACCAGAGACTAATATGTACATACTGTATAAGTGGTAATAGTGATGCATTTATTGTAAATATCATACAGTTTCTCTGACATCGTATGTTTTTGTTTTTGTTTTTCTTGATGCAGTGCTGAAACACTTTTGTGCAGGATCTCACGTCTGTTGAATCGTGCAATAAAAAGTGAACAAACATGCATCGATTGTCTGCCTGATGCGGCGCTTTTGTTTTGATCAAACAACTTCAGGCCCTTTAAATGTGTTAGATAATAAATGTTTAGATTAGTCTACCTTGTATTTTTTTTCTTAGTCTTCTGATAATTACCTAAGTGTTTGACTGTTGGTTGGACCAATGTCAATAAGTTCATTGTAAAGTATGATTATGAATAAAAGGTCAAATAATAAATAGCATAGTATATAAATACAATTCCAAAAAGTTGTATGTCAGAAAAATAAAAGTATGTTATTACACTTTTAAATGTCATAGTATATAGTGTTGAAAATAACAAATCATCTACATCATGTTGATTTTGTCGAAATGTCTTTAAAAATATATTATATTAAGATAAAAGTATAGTTTGTCATAAAAACTTCATCCAATGTTCTGGAAAGTCATCTGATAGTTTTTCATAAAATGTTATAAAAAGCAACTGGTATATATCTTTAAACGTCAGGAAATGTCGACAATATAAAAAGAACATCCTAGTAGCATGTCGAAAACTTAAATCATTGTTATTCAATAAATTCCATAATGAAATGTTTATAATATTTCTATAAAACCTTTCAAGATATTCATTTTACATTAAAGGTGACCTATCATGCAAAATCCACTTTTGTAACGTCTTTTATACATGAATGTGTCCCCGGTGTTCCAGGGAACTCACCAAGTGTCAGAAAACACAACCCTCTTTATTTTCCTCCATTCCCCAAATCTCTTAAAAAGGGGCTGCAACGGATCTGATACAAATGATCCAGATTTGAACACTTCTATGACGTCACAGAAGTGGCGCTACGGCTATTGGTCCAACTCCACCAATAAGGAGGAGACAGCCACGGACATTGCCGTTCGAAAGCGCTGGAGACACTGTAGTACATATGCCAGGCCTGTAGATGGTGCCGTTCTCACAGAATCAGCCCATGCAAAGACAGTGTTAAATTGAGAGAAATGAGGAATGGCTAAAATGCGTGATCTGTTTGGTATTTTGAAAAATGAAAAGTATAAATATGCCTTATAGGTATGGTCCTACACTATATTATTCAAATATAGCATGATAGGTCCACTTTAATAATATATTAATAATAATTTTGGTAAAGCAATATATTATTTTATCAGAATCAGACACTTTATTTATCCGGGGGGAACAGTTTGTCAAAGGGTTTTGTGACAGTTTTAGAATAAAATAAAAACAAAATATTTGTGTATACACAAGAAGTAAAATGAATAATAAAAAGATCCATCCATCCATCCATCCATCTTCTCCCGCTTATACGAGGTCGGGTCGCGGGGGTAGCAGTTCCAGCAGAGAGCCCAAACTTTCTTTTCCCTGGCCACATCAACCAG